GGAACAGCAGCACATGCTAGCGCGGCCTCCATCATAGACAGGGACCTGACGCAGATACAGTGCAATCAGCATCTTCAAGGATCCCTCCACTATGCCGTAGGCTAAGATCAACAACCCCCAAAGCACAGGGAGCAAGTGGGTAATGACCCCTTCCCACGTCACACTTCAGCAGAACCAGCAGAGAGGGGACCTCAGGGGCAGGCTGAATGCTTTGGTGTTGCAGACCCTGCCTCTGGCCAGATGCTTGCATAAAAGAGAGATACTTGACTATCCTTTCTTGAGGAATTTCCCAGAGAAAGAAATTCCAGAGACCGGAGCCTGTGTTCCCTTTAGCTTGGCGCGGAGACCAGACCAGGCATTTCAGTTTTCCAGGTGAATGCATCATTAGACAGTGTGGAGGGCAGCCTTCCAGCTGACTGATTAACCTTTTCAAATGGCAGGAAGCCAGACCCTTCCTCCAAGCAAACAGGCACAGCTCCATGGACACCATCAGAGCTACACTCACTCACAACAGGCCAGGGACATAGGATTTGAGCGACTTCGAGCCAGTGATTTGCTCTTCTGCCTAATTAAAGTCTCTTTTCTGGTTCACTGCAGTTTTCCTTTTTCCATGTCTCCTGAGTGCATGTTATGCCCCAGGTAGAAAGTTCCTCCTTCTGGATACTTGATAATCACTGTGGCTTACAAAGTTTGTGCCAGATTCATTAGCAACACCAGCTTCTGACAGGTTCAACTGACTGCTTTGTTAGTTTGGTACCAAGCACTGGGAAATTGGTCTGTGGTTCAAGCAGGTACTGACTGCTCCTGCCTGAAGCATTAGAGCGTCGGTGCAAGTAGCCTTGGTGGAAAAAAGCTTGTTGCACTTGTCTCAGGGCCACCCAGTTTATGTTTCCTCTGATATGGTTTTTCCACCTTGTGAGGAATGCACGGTCTTCCTAGCACACATGTAATTCCAGAGCAATGAGGTCAGATCAACTCTATGCATCCTGCATCCCTTACAAGTTACAGCGAGGCTGTGCCCGTACATAGCTCTCTGAACCGGAGTGAATTTTGCCCTAAAAGCAGCATGCCTCTGAAGGTAGCTGAACAGAAATCAATGTCTACAACCATTGATTTTACTAACAAGGAACTAAGAGTTTACAGTGACAAGTTCAGCAAGCATCAGCAAAGCAAAAAGGGGGTGATGTGCCAGAGGACCTAGCTAGTTGGCACTGCAAAGAAGCAGGAAAGTAAAATAATCAGAGAGAGTGGAAACTGCCTCAAAACATGTTACCACTGTACATGTGCCCCTCAGCTGTGATAGACTCAAGCCGAGCCAATCTTGTATCATGCATCATGATCTCAGTAATGCAAGACTTCAGATTAAATCTCTGCAGAGATGCGGGAGGCGACTGACTGTATAAGTGACAGGATGTGTCAATTAGCAAAGAACAAATTAGTGAGGTTGTACTGGGCTCCGACACAGAGGCTGTACACTCAAGGCCAGGTGAAACAAGCAGGAGGAAATCCAGGGTATGGCAGTGGGGCTGAGGATAAGGGACCCACCAGGCTGCTGCTTAACTCGTGAAAATCCTCAGCTCCCATCATCTCTACAGACACACAGGAATGAGTTCACAGTGAAGCCTAGCAGGGAACTAGGTTTTCATAATGCTCATGTGCTGACCTTCCCCACTAACACAGAGTCATCAATGAATTGTTTGTGCACAGCCCTTCCCACATCACCTCTGAGTTTGGCCGAATCTGAGTTAGTCCCAGATTCGGATGGGGAGAGGGCGTGATTCGCACCTTCCTTCAGCTTCCCAGAAAAGAAGTTCTGCAAAAAACTGATGTAGACTTGCCAGAGAATTAGTCCGCTGAGATATTTAACTCCGGGGAAGCTCCACGGAGGGAAGGAGGGATGCCTAGTGCTAAGGGTGCCAGACATCTAGGAAGCCCAGGTTCGGTTCCCTGCCCTGATGCTGACATCCTATGTGGCCCTGAGCAAAGCATCCAGCCGCCCTGCATAGGACTCATGGAGGAGGTGTGCTTGTCTGGGTTCCACCAGATTACTTGTCCGCTGCAGTTCCTCTAAAATCACCATGACATCGATCCGATGGACGTGGACTGCACAACTATCCTCTCAGTTAAATGCTTGCATCTTCTTATCATGGGACCAGTTACATGAATTCTATTGTGTGATGTTGCCTGAGGATACTATTGTAGCCCTGTGGGAGTGACAACCCTCTTTAAGGACATCCTTACTGAAGATGCCTGACAAGCTGTCAGTGCTTTCCATACACATGCACTGTATCACATGCTTTTTGCCCCTTTGGGTTCCTCTTTTTGGGCAATTCAGATTAGAGGACGATCAACTGTCCCTTTGTAAACTAGAGCTTCCTAGAGAGATTAAGGCTGGAAAAGACCCTTTATAAACATGTAATACCCAGCTTCCCGCACCTGTGCAGGGTGGCTGCCTGCAACACATTCTCTGCTGGTTGGCCCAGGCTGGCTGTACATGACTCATATCCCAGGGCTTCCATCGCTCCCCTGCCACAGTGTAATAGCTTCCATTATCTACAGGCATTTCCTGGTATTCAGCCTGCTCTTGCGCTCGCTCTGTGACTGAGTCAGGAATCTACCTACCTGTCTGTCTTGCATCACTCAGCATTGGTGAGAATGCATTGCATTGTGGTGATGCCACATCTGGATTACTGCATCCAGTTTTGTGCCCCCCACTACAAAACGGATGTGGACAAGTTGGAAAGAGTCCAGAGGAGGGCAACAAAAATGGTTTGGGGGCTGGGGTACATGACTTGTGAGGAGAGGCTGAGGGAACTGGGCTGATTTAGTTTGGAGAAGAGAAGACTGAGCAGGGATTTAATAGCAGCCTTCAACTCCCTGAAGGGGGGTTGCAAAGAGGATGGAGCTGGACTATTCTCAGTGGTGGCAGATGACAGAACAAGGAGCGATGGGCTCAAGTTGCAGCAAGGGAAATATAGGTTAGATAGTAAGAAAAACTCTCTCACTAGGAGGGTTGTAAAGCACTGGAACAGGTTACCTAGAGAGGTTGTGGAGTCTTCATCCTTGGCTAGACAAAGTCTTGGCTGGGATGATCTAGTTGGGGCTGGTCCTGCTTTGAACAGGAGGTTGGTCTAGATGACCTCCTGAGGTCCCTTCCAACTCTAATTTTCTGTTTCTATTGCAGGGCCTGAGTTTAACAAAAGTCCTGAGAGCGAAGAAATGACTTGCTGGGCTGGATCATTGGCCCCTCTAGATGCAATCTGTCCTCACTGCCTATCACGTCAATCATTGCTTAGCTTAGGAGGCCACATACTCTCAAAGTGACTATCCAAATGGCATAGTCACAGGGACCCAAACAGATCTCTTAATCCTATCATATTGCTTAGTTTGGGCATGATTCAGAAACCTCAGGGCTTTTCTTTCCATTGACTTTGGATCAGTTCCTTTATGGGTAAAGTGAAGGCAGCCCTGTCAGCAGCACTTGG